CCTGTGTAAGCTGCCCCCACCCCAGGACTTCCAGGTGCTTCCAGGTGCTTTCCAGGTCTCCACTGCCCTACCCATCACACACCACAGTGGTATGCCCAGCTCCAGGTAGTCTTGCAACCTGCTACCAGAATGGGGTGCTCTCTCAATTCTGCCCCAGTCCCCAGCAATGCCTAAAAAGAATCTACACAAGCCCACTTTTCCAGAACAGCCTCTGGTAATAGTGTCTGTCAAGGGATTCTGCACATTGCATAAATAATAATTTTTCCCCTTTGGAACAAAATAGAATAAACTGGGAGACCACAAACACCCTTCCCAAAGTGCTAACGTATACAGTAGCACAATAGAAGAGTGCCTAAGGGGTCCCATAAGGAATATTTATGTGCCTTTTTGCTATCCTAATGTTTCTATTAATGAATATTTTAAAAATCATACCCTTCAACATGCTTTAAATATAGGAATATTTGTAATTGGATATTATAATTGCCCATAGTTTCTGCTCCAGGAAAGGCAGAGAAAAGCATAGGACCTGGCCTCTTCTCACAGCTCCCTTCTCCTCTTCAAGGTCATTTCCAAGCTATTCCTCACTGCCCATTCCTTACTCTTGGAAAAGTCCAAAGTTATTATGTGTTCTAAAACTGAAGAGATATCTTGTCATTTTGCAGTAGATTAAACAGTGAAAATAATACCCTATTATTACTTAGTATCATCTAGAATGCATTTCAAAAGGAACTGTGAAGAGAATCTTGATACACTGAAATGTATTGCTTAAAGCATTGTTTTTAAGAGCCAAGAAAGGCCTAGCAAAAAGGACACCACCTCTGAGCTAAGCAAGGGCTTCACACCATTTTTTGGAAAATGAGGCTTCTTAACCTATGCCTGTCTCAAGTAGGAACAAGTAGGAACAGGACAAGTAGAAACAGGACTCTGATTGGAACAGCTGCCTCACACAGGACTCACCTTGACAGCAGTATAAACCACCTGTGTTTGCCACACCTCTATTTCCTAGGACTTCTGAGCCAGCCAGAGGGGTCCTCCATTGTTTGCTAATTATTTCACTCTACCACACTAGGTTCTCACTTACCTAGTCACACCCCCACCTTCCTTCCTCTTGTGCTCTTTCATTGTCCCTTCTAGAGATATCTTTCATTGGCCAGAATCAGAATACGTTACAGATATTTCCTCCTTTAAATTCAATAGAGGAGATGATCCTCGTCCTAACAGAGGAAATCTACAAGCCGTGTTGGACATCATAATCATTTTTTTCCACTCATTCATCTTATTTAAACAATTCACTGCCTTATCCTCTACTAATTCTTTTAATCATTTCAGTAGCTCTAGGAGTAGGTACTATGAATATCCCCATTTTACAGGCAAGTAGGTTGAGGAGCATACAAGTTAAGTAGCATGTCAAGACACAGCTGTTGAAGCAGAGTTCAAATTTGTTTTGCTGCCTCCAACATCCGGCTCTGTGTCTTTCCCCTCTCTCTCTCTCTCTCTCTCTCCTGCATTTCCCCCAACAGCATTAACTGTATTATATTTCCCTCATCTAAAAATCAGATGCCTATAATGCCTGCCATCTCTGCTACCATAGCACAGTGCCACCTCTGGCCCTTCCTGAACAATGTTCTTGAGCCTGTGACACTTTGTTTGTCATGGTCACCAGACTCATTCCCACTCATTCTTCTGTCTCATCCTGTAGGCTTCAAGGAAGCCTTTTCTGGCCCACAAATCAGCTTAAGTTCCCTTTCTATATCCTGCATGGTCTCCACACTTCTCCTCATCACACTGTCATCTGCTGTTACAGGGACTTGTCCTACTTTTTGATGTCTATCTTTTCTAGGATGGAGGGTCTGGTCACTAGTGCATCTCCAGGGCAAAGCACAGTACTTACATACCAAGAACTGTCTACGCCTACAACTCAGGGCTGGAATCACTGTCCACATTAGGAAAACAGGGGCATGGTATTTCACACCCAAGCACACGTTCAACTGCAACCACTTCCTGTCAAGACATCATCCTTGACGGACGCATTTCAGCCAGGAATGGCACCCCATATGGACCATACCTGCATCAAGAAAGCAATTTGAGAGTCATCTTCGTAATCAGCCTCTGAAGAGTATAGCCGCTGAAGTAAACACTTGTACTTCAAAAATGCTTCTCGTTGTTTAGCCTCATTCTGGAGGTTAGTGCAGTGGCGACATCTGTATATGTGCTTCGAAGTGGATGAGATGGCAAATTCCGTGGAAGGCAAATAGAGCTGGCAACTGCGGCAAAAGTAAACCTTCTTGTAAAATTTCAGTGGGTCTTGAGGGACCTAAAGAGCAGGAAAAGAAAAAGAAAAGGGGAGGTGCAAAAATCAGGCCAAACACTCATCAGAAGCACTTTGCACTAATGTTTAGAGCGAGTTTCAAATTGGCTAATTTAAAAAGTCATATTTCTCCTGAACTTGCTAATCTATACAAAATTTAAATTCCATAATCTATACAAAATTTATTTACCCTGCCAAAATATTGAAAATCTGTGTCATTCATTAACCCCTAGAAACATGTGGCAAATCACTAGAAAATTAATTGACAGGAAAAAAAAAAAAAACCTAGTGGGCAGAGTCTTTCAGCACTTATTTGAAAAGAGTTTATATTTTTATTCTATTTTACTTAATTATTTCTATAGGCAAAATAGCTAGTCTCAAATATAAATGAAAGTCCACTATGCCAATTGTTCTTCTCATTTCATGAATTTAAAAAATGAATTCGAATTAGTTTAATGATTAATTTTCAATATTTGAAACTCCATATCTAAAGCTGTGGGCAGGAAGTAATTTCATCTTAGAAGATTCAACCCAATTGTTCTTTATGGTCCAAAGTACCATGAAGGAAGGAAGGAAGAGGGAAGAAGAAAGGAAAGTAGAACACTTTCAACCCAGACTGAACAAAGACTTACTTATGTAAGCCAGTCTTTCCTAATCTATGGTACATCCATATTTTTGGCCTCCATGAGAAGAAAGATTAAGCAGCAACATAGTTGGCATTTGATATATGAAACTTTCAAAAATATATTTTTGTTGTTTTGTGTTGTCAGTGCTGGGGATAGAACCCAGTGCCTCACACATGCTAGGCAAGTACTCTACCACTGAGTTACATCACTAGCCCTCAAAATTATGTTAATAAAGAAGGAAATAGGCATCAATGTTCACTTGTGTCTTTTTTCTTTTACTCAAGGTAAGTTTATAGTGTTGACCACATAATCCATTCTTATGATTTACTTTGTTCTGATCATCTGTTTCTGTACCTTCCCTTCTAGTCCTGCTTTACTTTTCCCAAATGTTCCAACTTCCTGAAGAGTAATATTCTTTGAAAATGTCATTGTCCACTGCCTAATAATTTTTTGGAGATAACATATGTACATTAAAAAGATAGTTAATTGTTCTGGAGGAAAGAAGAGTGATCTAGACATATAATCAAAGAACTCAAAGACAACATTTCTGGGTTCTTATTCTGAGATTTATTTACTTAATATTATTTTCCTTTCTCTTAGGAATTAAACTAGACATTATATCAGTCAGCTCATGAAAGCCAGTTAGGAATGATAGACCATTGTGAAACCATGAAAAAATTTTCTCTACCAACCTGAAACTGTATAAGATGACAACTTAACCCTATTAGGCTTATGATGGCAGAAAACTCTTAATTAAACTAAGCTACATAATTTGGGGATGGGGGCAGAGGATTGGCATTTCTACAAATTCTTGTTCCACTAAGCAAACTAAAAATGTACAAGGAGCCACTCTTTTTTAAAGTCAGTAACATTTTTTTAATCCTAGCATGTAGTTTGAGATATTAAAGGATGTATCCCCAAAAAAATAGAAGCAGCAAAGATTATCTGAAGATTTTCCCTAGAGAGTAGGAAAAAATCTTAAATCTTTTGTTTTAATGAATATTTTCACAAAGGCATGAGCCAAACAAAAGAGTAATTTTAAATTGGATTAAAAATTAAATGGATTATAGGTTGAATTTATTTGAGAGAAGTCATTTAGAATGATCATTTTTATTTTTAAAATTTTTT